CAATTACCTCATTACTCTATTCATTTAGATTTAGATTTTTATCAGAATTGTGATTACTTTTTTCAAATTTTCTTTGTTTTATTTAAATGTAGCCTTTTTTTTACTTATGATTTTGAATGTCTCTAAGAATTTTGATTGTTTTTATTTTGACTTTTTCAGAATTTTGTGCTTTTTTTTATTGTGACATATTTTTGGACTATTTGGAATTTAAATGTTACATAAATCTTTAGTTAAAACTAGATGACTGCCGATATGGTTCAGCCCCAATTACCTCATTACTCTATTCATTTAGATTTTTATCAGAATTGTGATTACTTTTTTCAAATTTTCCATGTTTTATTTAAATGTAGCCTTTTTTTTTTTACATATGATTTTGAATGTCTCTTTAAGAAATGTGATTGTTTTTATTTTGACTTTTTGAATTTTTCAGAATTTTGCATTTTTTTTTAATGTGACATATTTTTGGACTATGTTACATAAATCTTTAGTTAAAACTAGATGACTGCCGATATGGTTCAGCCCCAATTACCTTATTACTCTATTCATTTAGATTTAGATTTTTATCAGAATTGTGATTACTTTTTTCAAATGTTCTGTTTTATTTAAATGTAGCCTTTTTTTTACTTATGATTTTGAATGTCTCTTTAAGAATTTTGATTGTTTTTATTTTGACTTTTTGACTTTTTCAGAATTTTTTTTTATTTTTTATTGTGACATATTTTTTGACTATTTGGAATTTAAATGTTACATAAATCGTTAGTTAAAACTAGATGACTGCCGATATGGTTCAGCCCCAATTACCTTATTACTCTATTCATTTAGATTATGTTTTTTATCACGATTGTGATTCCTTTTTTCTACATTTAGATTTCTTTGGGGTGGGGGATTTATGTTATTCATGTTACCTTTTATCAGAATTGTTACTCTTTTGGGAATTCTGAAACTACATACTAATATACACCTGAAAATGAGCAGAATAGGGCCCCTTTAAAGGAGTAAGAAGTTAAGGACAGAAGCCGGGCTGTTGCCATGATGGTTTTAAGTCCAAAACAATCTTCCTCTGAATTTTGACTTTTTTTCTCAGAATCTTGACTTTTTTAGAATTGTGACTTTAAAAAAAAAATGTTTTACTTTTTTACCTTTTTTTGGAATTTTGATTTTACATAAATCCCTAGTTAAAACGACATAACTGCCGATATGTGTTCCTGTTCTGGGGAGTTCAGCCCCTTGATAATGACCCAAAATGTTTGACTTTTTACATGACTTACTACATGATAATCAATGTGTTTCTGTTTGTCTGCATTTGAGTAGAAGCCAGTCTTTGATATGTGTTCCTGTTCTGGGGAGTTCAGCCCCTCGATAATGACCCCATTAGTCTTTCTGCTAATGATGCACCAACTCACCTGACAAAACAATCACATTATCGCCACGTCAGTAAATGAGCACTTGCACTCACCTGCAGCATAATTTGATTACTTTTGACCAATTTAATTTTATAAATGGAGATGTGTGTGCTCGCCCGTGAAAATTAACACAATTATAACGGCAATTTGTCAAAGCACTTTGGACGGAGGAATATTCAGATGTCACATTAGAAATTAATGAGTATATTTCCTTACTTTTCCAGTTTTATGAAGGTTTTTCTTCATGAGAGCTGGTGGTGGTATCACAATGGGTGTTCTATCTTTTGCAGACAGGTGTGTGTGTGTGTGTGTGTGTGTGTGTGTGTGTGTGTGTGTGTGTGTGTGTGTGTGTGTGTGTGTGTGTGTGTGTGTGTGTGTGTGTGTGTGTGTGTGTGTGTGTGTGTGTGTGTGTGTGTGTGTGGTGTGTGTGTGTGTGTGTGTGTGTGTGTGTTTGTGATTGCACTGAGGTCCTGTGGAAGTGACTTTATTTTTCTTAAATAACTGATGACATGCGTTTACAGACAGATTTAATTGGATCTTACCTGAAATATTACTTCCCTTCCCGATCCGTCAATTGTCTTTTTCAACTTCCCTTGCTTTAAATTATCTGCCAATCATTTCCTAAACGTTTCCCTTTACTGTATGTATTTTCTGATTAAGAGGAATTTAATCACAAGTCCCTTTATCTTCTTTTGTGTATCTTTTAAACATAGTTTGGATAATGTAATGGATATTTAAGCTTCTTAATTATAGCAGAGAATTGGGTTGTGGGCTCTGATTTCAGACAGAGGGTGACACTACATACTGATATACACCTGAACATCAGCAGGAGAGGACTCTTTAAAGTAGAGACACTACATACTGATATACACCTGAACATCAGCAGGAGAGGACTCTTTAAAGTAGAGACACTACATACTGATATACACCTGAACATCAGCAGGAGAGGACTCTTTAAAGTAGAGACAATACATACTGATATACACCTGAACATCAGCAGGAGAGGACTCTTTAAAGTAGAGACAATACATACTGATATACACCTGAACATCAGCAGGAGAGGACTCTTTAAAGTAGAGACACTACATACTGATATACACCTGAACATCAGCAGGAGAGGACTCTTTAAAGTAGAGACACTACATACTGATATACACCTGAACATCAGCAGGAGAGGACTCTTTAAAGTAGAGACACTACATACTGATATACACCTGAACATCATCAGGAGAGGACTCTTTAAAGTAGAGACACTACATACTGATATACACCTGAACATCAGCAGGAGAGGACTCTTTAAAGTAGAGACACTACATACTGATATATACCTGAACATCAGCAGGAGAGGACTCTTTAAAGTAGAGACACTACATACTGATATACACCTGAACATCAGCAGAATATGGCCCCTTTAAAGGAGTAAGAAGTTGCGGACAGTAGCCATGTATTTATAAATATCTAGGCACAGGGTTTGAAGTCCATAACAATCTTCCAGAAAACATGACCTCTGTGCATCTTCAATAATATGCTAGAAAGTAAAGTTACCAGCTCCCAAATGGCGAGTTGACTTCTAAAATATACAAGAGATCTGCAAACCTTACATCGTGACTAACACACAAACAACCATAGCAACACAATACTATTGAAATCAAACCAAAGTGCCATAGTGAAACAAACAACCATAATGAAACAAATTCCAACAGAGCAGTTGTTGCTAGCCAATCAGAGAGCACATAACTGTTATCAGTTTGTTTGGCTTGCTGTGTCACAACATGGCAAAAGAGAGTATGTGCACAGGTGCATGCAAACCTAACACACACATAAACCTGCAAGTTCAAACACAGACACACACTGTGTAATCCGCTTTCCTCTTTCCTCCCACTAATATATTCCAGAGAATCACTTGAGTGTGAAATGCCGAAAGCATCCTGCATCCAATTCATATCGAGAGCTCCACTGTTTCCCTGTTTTGTTTATTTGGCTCCTGCACGATGGCAGATTGAGCTCTCTTCAAAATGACCGTGCATTGTCAAACCCACGGTTGTCGGCAGGGAAAAAGACAGAACTAGCTGCACTAGCGAGGGCTGCCATGACTCGAAATCCACATTAACAACGGCAGCTAGTGCCAAGGTAACAAAATGCTCCGAGGCATCTGATGACTAGCTGCATCCGGCCTGCTCTCTGTAAGCTGTGCAGAGCGAGATATACAGAGGTGGGAAGTAGTGGAGTACAAATACTTTGTTACTGTACTTAAGTACATTTTTCTGGTATCAGTACTTTACTCCACTACTTATTTTTCTGATGACTTTTTACTTTGACTTCTTACATTTTGAACACAAATACCTGTACTTTCTACTTCTTACATTTTGAACACAAATACCTGTACTTTCTACTTCTTACATGTTGAACACAAATACCTGTACTTTCTACTTCTTACATGTTGAACTCAAATACCTGTACTTTCTACTTCTCACATTTTCCTAACAGGCTGGTTCCTTTAGTTTGAATGTGTGTCTGGTGGCGTGATCATTATTATTTAGAGTCATTGCGTGCCTATTGATTTGAACACGATCCGTGTATCCATCATTTCCTGGTCTTCTCTAAAGAAGAGGGACCAATGAAAACGTTGTCATGTTGCCGTTGTTCAGCATGGAAACATTCATTAGCTAACAATGACATTATTGTTCTATTAATATAAAGGGAGGTCAGGTACTCTTTAAAACAGCTGCTAGTTATGGGTACTTTTTACTGAAGTACATTTCAAAGTCCTCTTTACTTTTACTTGAGTATCTTTAAACACGAGTATCTGTACTTCTACTTGAGTAAAGGATGTGTGTACTTTTGCCATCTCTATGAGTTAGGCATCGGATAGATGAGTTGTTGTAGAGGAATTATATCCTGCAGGATGGTGAGAGGGCGGAAGAGGAAGAAAGAGACAGGATGGTGGGAGGTACTTCAGTTGCGGCTATAATGTTTTCTGCTAAAGACAGACAACGGTGCCTCCAGAGACGTTGATAAAACGTTCCCCTGGATGTTGAGATAATGCCTTGATGTTCACCTGAATGTATCTTATTTTACATGTTTTCACTATTTACTCAAAACACTTCTGCAGCACAGGCAGTATGAGAAAAATACAGAACTTTTTGAACATTAAATTATGGAAACATGTCGCAGTAGAGGCTTACATTTCAAATATTAATCTGAAAATGAGCTGAATACATCCTCTTTTAGTATCATGCATTCATATAAGAGGCTGTTATGATTCTTGTTTAAGTATTATAAAACGTTTTACTTGTGTTTTGACAATTTTTACTTGTGTCTTGACTATTGTAGAAAACAACAGGGGACCCAGAAAAGAGCCTTGTGGGACTCCACATTTAAGCTTTTTTTTAGTAATTTCAAGTTTCCCAAATATTTTTTTCTCCATTTCAGACAACAATTTAGTGATGAAATAGTGTAGGTGGGCATCAGCCATAATTAAGTTATATTGAGTGCAGTGGCTTGGCTTAAGCTGAACATGCCTCTAATAATAATATTATTTTTGAATGAACAGCATATTTTCACTTCTAACTCTCTTCGTCCTGTTTATGCTTCTAGGTGTTGCTATAGCCAGTGCGCTGGTGGACACGTCACAACAGCGCATGATGGACTTCAAGGAACGAGGCCTTGGTCTGAAGCACCGCAAACACTTTGTGCACCACCAAGGGACCTGTGTATGAACCTGAACAACATCATATGGATATCACTGAAGTTATTTTTCATGGACTGAAGACAAAGGGACGATCTTGGTTTGATCTTGGTTAGTAGTAGAAATTAATCCACTATCCAAAGGCACCAAAACTGGGAAATATGGCACTTGTTGTTCTCTGGATGCTTTTCTTGTCCCTTGTGTGTTTGCCAGGAAAACAAGAAGTGGAAGCTGCAGATTGACAATGAAAATGTGTTTCTGCACCACAGCTTTGCTCGGACATTTTTACTATGAGTGCTGGCAGGCTTTTCCACTTCCATGCCATGTGGCTCTGCATCTCCAGGGCTCTACTTGTCTGTCATGCAGTCTGCCATATTGACAGAGAAAAACACTTGTTTTGCACCATTTAACCAAACGTAATGGCTTGGAGCTCCTGCGAAGGATATTGAGCTGAAGTTAACGGAGCTGAAATGAAGTCCTCCTGACTTACAAACCCACTAGGAATCAGGAGCAATGCTGGAAAAAAACAACATGGAGCTTATAGATCAATGCAACACACTGTAGTGGGGGGTGTTATGTGGAAATGATTTGCTAAAGGGGGGACGTCTCCTCTGGGAATTTTAAAGATTACTACTGTTGAGATGTAGAATACCATTGATGCAACTCTTGAGATTTTTTCTTTGTAAAATCGAAGTAATTCTTGATTGCAACATTCAAACATTTTTATATTTCCTCAGGTCCTCTGTAATGGAAAGGGGTCCATTTTCTGTAGCTTATGGGCTACGGTGGCCGACAGGTACAAAGGCGTCACAAAACATTTCCATTAGGAGTAACACGCTGCAGTTTCAGAAACGATGCAAATATAAAAACACAAATGTGCCAAAACACATTAAGAAACATCTTCACCAACTTGAGGAAACATGTGCAGCGTTTACTAAAAGGTGCAGAAACCAAACGCTGCAAGAAGCTCAAAACACAACGGAGACCAGGGGACAATAAAGAGTGACGCACACAGCTGGGAGACCAGGGGACAATAAAGAGTGACGCACACAGCTGGGACAGCTTGGTGACGTTCAGGATTATAAAGCTGATCAACTGTCTCTGTCTCAGAGTTAGTCTGTCTCATAACTGTAAGTGTTTGGCAGTATATCTGAAATGACTAGGTTAGCTACGTTAGCTAGCTAGCTTACAGCAGATCTGCAGTAACATCAGAAGGAGTCATGTGATCACATTGTTAAAATAAGACCATAAAACATTTCAGGTAAGTTTCCAACAACAGAGACAGTTGTTCAGCTTTATAATCCTGAACGTCACCAAGCTGTGTGCGTCTCTCTTTAGTGTCCCCTGGTCTCCTAGCTGTGTGCGTCTCTCTTTAGTGTCCCCTGGTCTCCTAGCTGTGTGCGTCACTCTTTAGTGTCCCCTGGTCTCCTAGCTGTGTGTGTCCCCTGGTCTCCGTTGTGTTTTGAGCTTCTTGCAGCGTTTTGTATCTGTAGCTTTTAGTAAACGCTACGCATGTTTCCTCAAGTTGGTGTTTTTATATCTGCAATCGTTGTGGAGCTTCATCACGTTTCTCCTAATGCAAATGTCTTAGATCGTTGTAGAGCGTTTGCCTCCGTATTGGACCTCTGTATATGCACTATAAGTGAAATGCTTTACCAGTACATTAGGACCCTCTGTGGGATAATATTATGCAATCCAAATGTAATGTTCATAATGGGCTGCAATGTAACCTCAAGGTATCATCAAACACTTACTACTGATGGTATTCATACGTCTATTAATTCATAACATAATTACTGTGAAGATACATTAAACATCTTTTCTCATGACCTCCAGTTAATTTCACTTTTGATATGTGATATTTATTAATTATGCAAACACTACAGTTACACAATAATTTTATAATTGCACTACGGATGTCTATTACCCTGTTTTTTCTTGTAACCTTTTTCATTTCGAAATATTATGTATTTGATGCATATCACAGCAGGTTCTCCGATGTCAAAACGTTTCTCCCTGTACCAGATGTGTTGAAACCTTAATCAATAATTGTAATGTCACTTTTTATGCACAGTGGAGTTACATTACTGTTCAAAAGTTTGTCTCCTGCCAGTAAAGCTGGTTTGGGTCCAGTCAGTTAAGAGGATTACTTTATATGTTCAAATTAGGTTGTAGAAACTCCAAGAAAACAATAATGTTCTCTGCATGGAGAACAACATGCTGTGACAAAGTTTAACCAGACTAACGAGGAGAAGAACAAAACATCATTTGTTTATTAAAAAGGAGATATCCAGAGGCACAGATACCTCTGAGCAACAGTTCAATAAAACAAAAATAACTAATTGGTCAAATAACCTGGCAGAAATACAAATATGAAACTTGAAAATGAGCATAATATGTCCTCTTTAACTAATGTTTCTTTATCATTCTTCAAATTTAACATATGACACAGACGGCTAGTTTAGGGTTTTAGTATTTCAAATATCAATGAAGTTAAATAATGATCAAGGGTTAATTGCAATTTCTCATCCTGGGCTGTTTTTAATTGTTAAAACAGCCATTATTGTAAGGAAACTGAAGACAGCTGAGACAAACTTTTAAACAGTACTGTATGTCTATATAAACATGTGATGTCTATACATTGAGTTTTCATGTTTTGTCTTCATGTTTGCACCGGTTTGTTGTTGAGACTTCTATTAACAAAGGGCAGCTCACCATACTGTTTGTGTCCGTACGAGCATACATATGTACGTTTACAATTAAAACATTTTGATGCCTTTTCGTATGCTAACTGGATCTGATATACTGTGTGTGACCTAGCATTACTATCCTTGTGGGGACCTACATATGTTTACACAGTCACGTGTGGGGACTCGCCTCCCCATGAGGGGAATCATTAATTTTAGGGTGAAGGGTTAGGGTTAGGCATGTGTTGGTTATGGTTAAGGTTAGGATAAGTCTCCAGGAAATGCATGTAAGTCAATGCAATGTCCCCTGAAGTGATGTAAACATGGTGTGTGTGTGTGTGGTGTGTGTGGTGTGTGTTGTGTGTGTGTGTGTGTGTGTGTGTGTGTGTGTGTGTGTGTGTGTGTGTGTGTGTGTGTGTGTGTGTGTGTGTGTGTGTGTGTGTGTGTGTGTGTGTGTGTGTGTGTGTGTGTGTGTGTGTGTGTGTAGGGATGGGTATCGTTAAGGTTTTAACGGTACTACTACTTTTATCGATACCGCTTATCGGTCCGGTCTTTTAACGGTACTCTTATCGGTTCTTTTGGAGAGAAAAATGAGGTAAACTAACTATATGTTGTATGTCAGGGACTACGGATGGAAATTAGCTCAAAGCTAAAATCCGGCATATTTACACTTGAAGCATTATTTGTCTAAAGTGTTCATTAATGTGCATTGTCCCTATTCAAATATACAATTAAATGAAAATTAACAAATTGTGAACAAAACTAACATTGCTTTTTATTTAAATGAAATACATAATATTTCACATCAACAGAAACAACAACGTTTTAACAAATCATATTAAATAATCTGATGACAGAACTGTGAACAGAATGGCTGAAACGTTAACAAACTAAATAACTCAGTTCCCTCTAATCATTAACCCATGTTTGAATCATTGAGTTAGCTCTGTGTGTTGCTGCTAGCATACATAATATACCTGACGTGGAAACGTTACTCGTGGATGGGGCTACAGAGCTACTAGAAAGACAGTCGAACCCGGTGCATTTCTCCGTCTGAACGTGGTGCACTTTTGCAAGATGTTTAGACAAATTGCTCGTGTTAGCGCCCTGACATGCTAAACTCTTATTGCACTTTAGGCAACGAGCGAGACGGGTAAAGTTTAACCACACTTCGGAGCGCGTTCTCTCCGCCATCTCCTCCGTGTGTGTGTGTTGCTGCATGTAGCAGCTGCGTGTGTGTAAACTGCCCCGCCCCCTCGCAAGCAGGCGGGGGAGAGAGATCTCTCGTCTGGATTGGAGAGATCGAAAATACAAAAAATGACGCATTTTGCAGTCTTTTTGCGTATTAGAAACGGAGTTGGCGACACTAAAACTGCAATATAATGTTTGTGTAGCAATAATACACATGACATATTTTTTAGATGTCTCCAGTACCGATAAAAAGACCGATAACGTCGGAGCTTAACGGTACCACGGTCTTTAATAATTCAGCCCCGGGGCCCGTTTAATACCGGGGCTCGGTACCCATCCCTGTGTGTGTGTGTGTGTGTGTGTGTGTGTGTGTGTGTGTGTGTGGTGTGTGTGTGTGTGTGTGTGTGTGTGGTGTGTGTGTGTGTGTGTGTGTGTGTGTGGTGTGTGTGTGTGTGTGTGTGTGTGTGTGTGTGTGTGTGTGTGTGTGTGTGTGTGCGCGCGCGCGCACGTGCGTCTCTGTGTGTGTTATTTTCTCTATTGTTATAAGATGGTATTGATCGGTGTTCTCAGGATGTCAATAGAGTCAAACTCAGCAAACACTATAGACTCTGTCCAAGAGAGTGGCTCAGCAAACTCAATGCACTTAATTCTGAATCAACCTTTTGCATAATAATAATACACAACATCTCAAAAGACTCAGTTCTGCAGCAGACTCAAATACATCAGTTAAATTATAAATATGCTTTTTTTAAGGCTCAAGGCTTTTATTGGTCATACGTACATAGCTACAGTGTAGTTATGACGATTATATTGCCTTATAGTGATCTTTTCTGTGTGTCCTGTCAAACAGAGGAGTATTTAATAACATATATAATGCACATTGGGAGGTGTGCACAAACATATTTTATTTGTATAAATGTGTGTTTAGTATTGGTATTGCAGTGCCTTTGTGTTTCCACATACATACTGTGTTCAAAATGAATCCAGTTCTTTTTTCATGTCAGTATTTCACTAACAAAAAGCTGCTGTGTGCTTTAAAGTACACGACAGATTGTGTATTTAGTCATGGGGTGAGGGCTTTATTGCCAAGATGATCTCAACATCTTCAAGAATTATACCATTTTATGCAAATGTTGGACAATAACAGGAAGAAAGCACCGGCATACATCGTTTCCAGGAGCTGAGGACGCTCCACGGTCTGGCTGCGTTTCAAAATACTTCACAGTCGGTGATGTAGAGGTAAATAAAATCAGGGTAGACAACGCTTTCATGTCACTGATCATTTGCATATTGCATTTTTACCTTAGATTACCTTTTCCTCTTGTAACAAATGTTAAATTCTGCTCACTAAGCTTTGGGAGTAGGTCATACATTTCATTTAAGAGTCATAGTATACTAGGATATGAAAAAGTTGTAGTATAGTATCTCCAAAAAGTCATATTAGTATGTCATGAAAAGGTCATAGTATAGTAAGTCATAAAAAGTCATAGTTTTATACGTCAAAAAAGACATAGGTCATAAAAAGATATAGTATAGTTTGTCAAAAAAGTAATTGTAAAAAGTAATTATTGTATGTCAAAAAAAAAAAGTAGTAGTATGCAATAAAAAGTCATAAGGCGCTTTCACACCGCAGTACTTTTCCCACTTTAGTTCCGATATAGTTCCTAAATGTCGCGTTCACACCAAAAAAATCCGGAACTCACATTAGTTCATGAGAACCTTTTTACCCCCTTTTCCGTCCCTGCTAGAGAGCAGGGACGGAAAAAGGTTCCTATTTCTGATTGGCTGGGCGGATTGCAAACCACGCCCCGTAAAACTCCCAAAAAGTTTTGTGAAGCCGCCATTTTATTATCCTTGCATTAGCATTATTAGCATTAGCATTCGCCGAGCGCACAAACGGAGAGAAACTAACTTATGGCAACACAAAAGAAAACATGGGAGCGGTGGAGATGAGGAGGTGTCGGCGTTCTGGCGATTTACTCTGAA